TTTATTTGTGGCAGAACAAAACTCACAAATATTTACAAATTTTATCCAATTTCGCTTCAAATAAAGGCAACATAAAAACCTTTCCGTTGGTGGCTAAATATTTTGATAAAAACTAAATTATTAAAATTCTACTAATCTGATTCTGAACAGTCCCATGATATTACTCAGTGTTTAGTAATTTAAATAATTACTTTGATGTTGCTTCACAATTTAAAATTTCTGTTGATGAAGACATTTTATTTAAGAAGTTTGTCCAACTACCTACTTTTGTTAAAATTTTGAACAACACGGAAAATGTCGATGTAATGTGGTCCACATTATGTGGACTCATTTTTTAAAAGAGCATCAAACTGCAATTAAATTTTTTATACCGAAAGAATTTTTAGTTTAATAATAATAATAATAATAATAATTTATTCATGTTACTATACAAAAGTACTTACATTTGTCAAAATTAAAAATAACAGCATAGATTTTAATTAATAATCATACATAAGAAGGTATATTACTTTACACAAAAAGGTACATTACTTCAAAACAATAAAAACAGAAAGTGTATATACATATATATAAATATTTAACAAAAGTTGAAATGTAAAAACTCATCATATGAATAAAATGCATTTTTTAATAGTAAACATTTAACCGCTGACTTAAACGACTTAAGATCTTTGGTTTTTATGTTCTCTGGCAATTTATTAAAATATTTAGGAGCTAAAAAATGTATATGCTTCTGACTTTTTGTTAGTCTGCAGAGTGGTAACCTTAACCTTTCGCTATTCCGCGTGGTGTAAGTGTAGTTGGTTTGGTTTACAATAAATTTTTCCATGTTTATTTTTGTATACCTACACTAGTATTTCTAGTATATAAATACAGGGTAGTGTAAGGATACCTAGTTCTGAAAATTTAGTTCTACAGTTTTCAGAATATTTTAGTTTGCCAACTATTCTTACAGCCTTGCGTTGTAGAGAAAACAATCTTTTCCAGCCCGCAGATTGCCCCCACACCAATATGGCATAGGAAAAGAGAGAGTGGCCCAATGGAAAATAGGCTGTCTTAAGAACTTTGTTTGAGACTGAGTTTGCAATATTCCTTAAAAGATAGATGTGCTTGCCAAATTTCTTGGCAACCTCATCTATATGATAGTTGATAAAGTCAAATAATTATTTTGAAACCAGGTAGTAGCTCTCGACTGTGCATTCACCGACGCATTAACTAAATATTCTGAGTCTTTTCCTTTTACAATAATGGTGGTATCATCAGCGAACAGAATGTGATTGGCTGTGTGGTTAAAGTTGGGTAAATCATTGACGTAGATTAAGAAAAGCAATGGTCCAAGGATAGAACCCTGGGGAACCCCATAGTCAATCACATCCCTATCAGACATTAACCCATTTACTCTAACCTGCTGTACACGGTCTGTTAAGTAGGATCTAATCATATTAATAGCATTAGTTGTGAAATTATAACTTTTTAGTTTACCAAGCAATACTTCGTGAGTTACACAGTCGAACGCTTTGGACAAATCAAAAAAAACAACGACCAGATGTTCATGTTTCTCGAAAGAGTCTAATATTTTTTCAACCAATTCCAACACAGCCAGTGTAGTATTTTTATAAAAAAGATTATTTTGTTCAAAGTAAGCTATAATCTGTGTTGCTAGCACTTTTTCAAAAGTTTTGGAAATTATTGGTAAGAGAGATTTGATGAGAGCAGTGTGTTTTTCTAATTAGAAGCTAAACTGATGATCAAAACTAATAATAAAAAGACATGTAATTTGTTAAATTTTTAAAAAGCAATGGAAAAGAAATTCTTAAAAAAGTTCCATCAATTCATCAAAAATACATTTAAATAATAATATTTTTTTAATTCTAAAATTAAAAAAATTATATTTCTTTTGAATTTTTTTTCGAGGCAATTTTGAAATTTTCGAAACTAAAACATTTTTTTTTAAGATTTGCGTGTCCCGCTTTTTCATTTGCAAAATCTGGCAACCCTGGACACCCTATATATTTTTACATATTTTAAAAGACAACAAAAAATGATAATTGCATAACTACCCTAATGTAAATATGTTAATTATGTAGTATGTCTTACTGTGCAATACTCCAAATAATATTTCGTGGTATCAACTCGATTTATATACGGGGGGGTTTGTATAGGGGGCGGCCCTATATTTTACGAGTCGCTCGTTGTTATACATAAAACATGAGGGCTACAAACTGCAGCAGCAGGCAGCGCGGCGCTCAATTGACAAAGTGTTCTTTTTGTACATTTTGTTTCGTTTGGAGAGCGGATTTTACCTCGCGGATATGGCGAAATAAAGATATAAATTTTAGTTACCGTCAAATGTTACGGGTAATTTTCAACAAAAAAAGCTTTTTTACATAACATTACTTCCTATATAGTCTATACAACAACTGAAAAAGACCTGAGCGATAAACAAATTGAATCGGTGAGATCAAGAACAGTACAAGTCCAAAATTTAAATTGTTTACAAGTTATTTTATATAATCACTTTTTTAGTTTAAAATGCATTTTTTGGTGAATATTTTATAAAATATAATAACCATATTTTGTACAATAGTATTCAATTGTACTCTCTTAAAATAAATTAGTCAAAATTAACTAATTATAAGTCATATTTGACTAATTGTCATAGCGAAAAAGCAGTCACTAATAACACAGTGCAAAAGGGAATGGGATGAAACCAAAAGCGAATGAAAGGTAATAGCTTCTACAAAAAAACCCTATGAGGTTTTTTTTAGATCACGTCTCAGTTTTTTATTATACGCATTTAAAGTTGGTAGATTTTTGGGACACCCTATAATAGGAAAAAAATAAGTAAAACAATTTTAATTTTTTTAAATTATTCTGGCAATATAGTCGAGGAATCCATTCCAAGTAAAGAGCATTTTTACTAGAAAATTGGGCATTTTTATAAAAAAAATATTCTCTTTAATGGTTTAATTAAAACACAATACTTGTATACAAAAACTACATTTTTTTGTGGTAATATATTGTAATATATCGATGGTATTTTTGCAAAAGGGCGAATATGCCATTTTCCTGTTTTGATAAAAACAAAAAAAAGTATTTCGGCGTATTCGCCCTTTTGAAAAAATATTATTACTACAAAAAATTGCAGTTTTTGTAGCAAAAACGAGGTTGTTTAAAGGTAAAATTGATTTGTTTACTTAAAAACACATAATATTATGTACTATATAGTAAATCAGTGACAGCAACATAAAACGTTTTTCTTAATTAATATACTTATTTAATTAAATTATTTTTTTTATTTAAAGGACAATATAATATAAAACAAAACTTAGTTCCAAAATATAAAAATGTAAAAAATTGTACCTACAATATTACGGTATACATATAATTGAATATGTTGAAAAGTTTGCAGAACTTGTAATAACAATTTAATTAAATGATCACAAAAGAAAAAGAAGTCAATGAAATTTGGTGTTCCAATGTTGTGGTATAATTCAGGTATTTTTTTTATTTTTATACTAAAACATGGTATTTTTGATTATATTAATTATATTTTGCATTTTTATAAATTTTTGGATGAACAGCTGGAACTTCTGGTACTTAAACTCGTGTTACTGCCGGTTACAGCAGTGATAGTTTTTAAATAAAAATAAAATAGCGAATTTAATAATGTTTAGTTAAGAAGTAAAAATGCTATTTTTTCTTAAAAAAAAACAAGTTTTCTATACTAATAAATCCAAAATATTAAAAATTGCTTTCGAATATCACCTAGGGTATATTTTACAACAAAAATGGATTTCTTACTTTCAAAAATAGTAAAAATTAGTAACAATTTTTTGATAGCGTCTTCTTCTGAGGGTCTTTGGTAAAAATTAACATCACAAATGGTTTCCTCGATCAAATTGACAAAATTATTTTGAATAATTAACATAGTTTTACTTATGTTTTTCCTACAGGGTGTCAAAAAATTTACCATCTTTAAATGCGTACAAAAAAAAACTGAGACGTGATATAAAAAAACCCTGATAGGGTTTTCTTGTGGAAAGTATTAACTTTCATTTGCTTTTGGTTTTATTCCATTCCTTTCGCAAACCTTAATTTTGTATCACAGTGTAATTAGTCAAATTCTATAGTAGTAAAAAATGACTATTTAAAAGTGAAACCGACTATTTTATTAGTAATAAATGCTGGTACTAATTCAAATAGTAGAATTTTGACTATTTCATTTTTAGAGAATAATATCTTCCAACACATTTAACAAAAATTAACAAAATTTTAAACACATACAAAATACTTTTTTTTCAAAGAGACTAAAATTTCATAAACTTTTTGAGATAAAAGCATTTAAATTTAAATCCAAACTTTTCCTCTCATTGAACATACTGTATCGTACGAACAATAATCAAGAAGTCGGTGTTACGCAATTAATTGACAGATGCACATCGCCGAACGAACGAACCTATTTACGGTGAAAGTTTATCGTCGATTCGATCGATCTACCGGGTCATAATGACAGTAATAAAAGGTGCATGTGTACAGTAATTACGTCGATAAAATTGATAAATAATACAACAATGTTTATCGTTGTTCAGTATACTGGAATAATTTAAATAAATAACGGGTGGGTCATAATGTTAAATTTAAAAAAATTATAACCAAAAAAATTATATATCTTATGGAATTTTTAATTTTAATTTAATATATTATACTACATGCGTGGAAATCTGTTGCAAACACTCTTTAAAACAGCCTTAAATTATAGTTTTTATACATTTTTTTTAATATCCCAACATTATGCACCACCCCATATACTATTGAAAATGTTTTATACTGATCCAGCTATTGTATGCTCAAAGGTACATCCATGTTATATATACTTTAAGGTAAAGTAAATATAAAATAAACTACATTTAGTAAAATGTCCATTAGATTTGATTTAAATTGAAGCAAAAACGTGATTCCACAAAACTGTATCTTTCTTTTTTATAACAAAAACTCACCCTTTATAGTAATATTTGCCTGAAACAAAAAATAAAATTATTAATAAAATAAATTAATATACATAATACAAAATAAAGAATAAAATGATTTTATTAAAATCACAAATAGGTACCTATATATAAATTAAATATTATTCTGTCTGGGTCTACTTTTTTACTTTTGAGATTTTGCCCCATAATTATTGTTAATTGTTAATTAATATTAAAATATGGCTAATAATAAAAACAATTATTCCAACTTACATAATTAACTAATTTTAACAATGTAGAAAATTTTAATAACTTTATTCGTTGAATATTTTATTCATTAATTTGTGGTTACATGTTAATCGTGAAATAATAATAGTAATTAAAATGAATAAACTAATAATAATTTAATGATTATTATTATTAACACTAAACATTAAAACTAATATTTTTAACTTAATAGTTATTTATGCCATTAGGTTAAGAAGTAAGGTTTTTTGTGCTAAGCTTACAATTGAGCGAAGCACAAAAAGGCACTTCTTGGCCGAATGGCATACAACATTTTATCTTCAAAGTACTTTATATAGGTCAATTTAATTCAACATCAAAGCGGCCTAACCTCACTTTTTTAGAATCTCATTTATTTATTAGCTAAAGATTACATTAAATGTACAATAATTATTATTGCTTTTAGAAGCAGTAATAGTTTGACGATACCTAGCAACATGATTTAAGTAGAAATTGATTTTTGCTATTACATTGAATTCAATTAATTGTTTAATAAATAGGTAGGTAGGTATCTAATTTCAATTTGTTTGGATTTTTATTTAAAAAATAGGTAGTTTGGAATGTTTAAGCTGTGTTTAACATTTAATTTCACTGAAAACTTAAAGCGAATTAAAACTTAAAGATAATTTAAATCGTAGAAAAAGAATCGTGCGTAACCTCACTTTTTGTTTTATTATTCATATTTAATTTTACAATAATTTAATAAAAAATATTAAACATTAACAGTCAAACAAACAAATTAGTGCTTATTATAAATAAATTAAACCAGTTTAGTACGTTAATTTCTTAGCAAAGGATTAATTTGTCAAAACAATACCCCTAGCGAGAAAAAATCGATCTAATTACTTGCCCCATAAAAATTTTTATCGGCCTAGGTCATAACAAGGTATTTCTTTATCGAATGTTGACAACAAAGTTTAAATTATAGACCGCGTGGAGATAAAAAGATTTTTTATTCAACACCTATTTTATATTAACTTATAAGGTTACGAAATAAAATAGGTGTTGAATAAAAAATCTTTTTAAGTAAAAAATATAACAGATGGGCAAAATTATACTTCGCGGAAAAAAATTGCATTTCGACCACGGGTTGAAGTTGGCTTTAAGTTAAAATTGAAAATAGTAAGGTTAAAAGTTCAAACTCTCTTTAAACTTAAAACTAATTGACAATTATAAGATGTCAGTTAAAATATCAAATAAAATTATTTTTAAATTCCTTGCGGTAGTTGTATAAAATATTGGTCAAAATAGGAGATTCCACTCGCGTGTAAAACTCCAGGCTCGAGAAATCATTTATTTCTCCCACTGGTCGCACAATATACTATTTCTTAATGGTTGTTCCAGGAAATTTGTTTTTTAGTTGTGAAGGAAGAACTGCAATTTAAAATTTTTTTTTTGCAAAAATAAAAAAATATCAAACAAAATGGGGATTTTCCAGGTTCTGGGAATTTTTGGAATAGGTCAAATTTTCAAAATGCGTAACAAAATAAAGAAATAAAAAATAGACTAATCAGCCGTTTTGGAAATTAGCCCGGACAAACATTTTAACACGTCAATTTTATTTATATCTAAATATGTTTGTATGTATTGATTAAATTGAGTATGAGTATAAGTATAAGAGACGTATAACCAGCCCCATTTCCTCTTGACTCGCGAACCCCGTACAGGCCTATGTTTACTTGCGCCGATTTTTGTTCTTCCCCAGCAACTGCACGGCTTCACCCGTGTTTGCTGGGTGCGAATGTCCATTGCGTTTCGTACTGTCCCCTATTTGGGGCTCGAGAGCGAGAGGCGAATAGTTATAATAGCCATTCCCGGGTTCGCCGAGCCTATGCTATACGCTCGGTGGGGTGTGGATGAGGGACGGGAGGGAGTTGGTTTTTGGGGGACAATTACGCCGACTTAAAACTAAGTACGACGCGGAATCCCCCTAGACCAGTCGATTAGTTTTACTCCAAACATTTGGGATTACTATTTGGAGTTGGGGAGTTGTTATTTCGCTGCAGGGGTGTAGTCGAGGTCTTTGTCTTGTTCGTTATTGTCGTTGTCCGTGTCCTGGTCAGATAGCTCCTGCCCTTGGTAAAGTGTGTCAGTTGTTTTTAATAATTTTTGTCCCAAGCACGTTTTGTGGTAGAGTTCCGTCTTTGTTTATCAAATTCCAAGGCATTGCATTTATTCACTAGTCCAACAAATCACAAGCGCGATCATTCTGTCGTCTAATGTTTACAAATCTCGAGTTTGGCTATTAGGCCCTTTTATTTAATGTGTTAGAATTATGTGATCAATGTTAGTTTACTCTGTCAGTCCAGTGTTTATATTCGGTCTCGATTGGGACCGCTTTACGCACTTGCCGTTGACAGACTTATTGCCCCACGCCGCGCGCCCTTCATAGGTTTTAAAGATATCCCAATAAACACCTTAACGATACCTAACACCATTAGCATTGCCCGTGTAAGAATTTTTAACACTTTTTAATACAATTTTGCAATGATAGTAATTAAAAACAAAACAATTGTTTAAAGAGTAAAATATGTTCTTAACATAATCATATTTGAAGTTATTTTAACATTTTCAAGTAAAATTGTAACCTCAACTCGAGGGCTATGGCTAACGGCAGCTTTACAGTGGTGAGGTGGGTCGATGGGCAAATGTTGTTTCTTAATACTTACGTGTTTTTACTAACATAAATCCAAAATTGGGCGCCAGTGTCTTATTATGGCCAGTTGTTGAAATCTAAGTAAGCCAGACACAATCTTACTAGAGATTAAGGGTGGTAATTAAAAGTCAAGTTTATAAAAAAATAAATCAGTTATATTTGTTCACCGATGTTGAAATGATCACTTTGCATGTATTAATAAATGTTTGTAATAATAAATGTTTGATCTGTAATTTTGGTGCACCCTTATATGGCCATATATGGTTTACAAAAACCAAAGTCTGATGGACTAAATTAACTGATAAAGTATTGTTGATGATACAAAAAAAATATACTTAAAATAACTATGATGAACGCAACTCAAAAGTACACAAACTATAAGGAGTGTAGTGTACGTGAACATTAATATTTAAAATTTGTACGACCTGTTCGTAGTTGGGGCCCTGGTAGAGTGTGTCTCCGAATGGGTTGGCTTCCGATGTTGAAGTCTCCTACCATGTCAGATTATACAGGATGGCTTTTAAGTAACGTAAGAACTTGCCATTATCCAAAACAAGTTCAGGGTAAAAAACCATTCCTTTATAACAAATCTGACATAAAAAGTCTTACAAAAAACTCCAACATAAAAACCCTAAAAAAAAAATATGGTATGATGCCCAAGCATCTAAAAAACTATAAACCGCCTAACTTACCCTTGTTTAAAGGAGTTTTTATAACTGTATAACGTCAGGACTGGATAAAGACCAAAAATGAGGAAATAACACAACCCTAAAATGGAGAACCGCGTGGGTAAAACATTTAATTTCAGCAACAGGTCAAAAACTCACCCAGAGCTCATCGTACCATACGAAAATTGTTTTGGTCGGAATTATACCATTAGATTGAGAGATTTACCACGTATTTTTGGAAATTTTCCATAATTTAAGCACAAACTTAACTCTCATCTAATCGCTTCAACGACCAAATCGAAAAGGAAAACGTAAACCTTATTGAGTGCGTAGAAGATTATTTCAACAAAAAAAAACACAATGTTGCCTATGTTAACAAACATTTTTTAAAAAGAATTCCCACAAAGTCTACCAGAACCTAAGCCTCAAACACAAATATTCCTTTAGTAAACCCCAGTAACATACCCAAAGATCCAAATATATACCCCCCTAAACGAAATAATTTGGAAAATTCCCTCCACTGACACTAAACTGTCATTAACGGCAAACCAGCCATCAAAATGAATATATTAATTATTACTACATCAACCAAGCTCACACGGAAGTGTTTGGGGTTGCATACTATCAAATTACCGTTTTTGAATAAAATTAAAAGAACTGGCTTAAAAAGAGTTTTAAATACCGGCAATGCTATTCATGTGTCAGTAAAAAGAATTCCAATAAAACTAATAGATTTTCTTGGAAAGAGGCATTTACACAACTAAACAAATTTCCTTTTTAACAATAGTTAAACTTAAAATAAATCAATTAAATGGTTCACATCTAAACCGTTCTAGATGTAAAAAAAACTAATAAAATAAAATAAATGTGTAACTGTCAAAATGACGGTTACACAATTGCCCCTCTCCAAAAAAAAAAAAAATAAATAAAAAAAATAAGAAGTATTTTTTTCATTATTTAAATTATTTGGATCGCAAACAAAATTACCTCAAATAAATCCAAACCCAAAAAAAAATCAGAATGTGCGGGTTAACATAGACAAAAAAAAGTAAAAGTTAAATTGTGACAGATATAAAGGAGGAACGAAGCAGACCGCTGGTCAAACTACGCCTCTAAACCATAAGCAAGTAAAACGTCAGAAATGGAAATTTAAATGGAAAGCAAATTCTCCTTGAAGAGGAAGGATCCTGACAAACCCAGTAAAGTTAGGAACTCGTCCTACAACAAAAAAAAGGAGGCAACCGGTAGTCCTGTGTCTGAAACAGGCCAGCCCTCAACAAATGTGCATAATGTAGCATTACATTATCGAAAAAGTCTTACGGCATGTCACCTTGACATACCGTCAGAAAGAAAGAAATTACTCGGAACGAATTCCGAGTAGGGAAAGGGAGTGCCCCAGTGGCCAGTTGCGCTAACTGGAACCACATTGAACGGACTGGA